GAAGTTGGCTCTGACACATTGGACGTAGGGCGTAGCTTATAGCGACCAACTTAACCTCATTTCTCAACGAGCTGTATAGCAGCTGTCAGTTTCAATAACAAAGCGGCGACACAGCGCTTTGACAGATGACGTTTAAGTTCATTTGCTATAAAAATACCATGAAACGTATGAGTTTGCAGGACGCCGTCTTGCAATCCCAATAGATGCAGAAATGACCTTGAGAATTGCCTTATAACTCGAGCTAGAATAGGCTAGAATTTAGAATTTATAGAACAATAAATAGTTAGTTTACATTTGCCCCAATATTTCTATAATTTTTTTTTTCCTGGGTAGTTGTAAACACCCTTTTTTTTCGGTAACGGTTAACAATGTTAAGTTGCACGTTTAAGGCATTCTAGAAGATGTTCCAGAGAATGTCCAATATTAAGGTTATCTTCACAACTGTTAAACTTCAAATTTTAGACTTTATCAAAGTTGATTTTATTAGAATCGTTTACAATTACCCCAACTGACCCTACAAAGTATTGAAAAAAAAATTAATTGGGTAGTTTTATTTGAACTATAGGATAAATGCGCTCAATAATATTTTTTATAGTGAAAGTCCATTCTTTTGCTTTTGTCCGAAATATACTTTTCCATTACTTTTTCATGAAAGTTTGTTATTTCTGGCACCATTGACTTTTCAGTAGATAGCATTGTAAGTGTTGTTTTTGCAGTCTAATTTAAACTTTTACAATCTTTTAAAAAACACACGCGCGAAACAATATGTAGGTATACACCACACGTAAACAAATTACGTTTGATAAGAAAAAAAAATAGCTAGAATAGCTATCATTTGGTTACGGACGGACTAAACAGAGCTTAAAGTGCATAGTAAATATGCGCTACTTCCACTCCGCTTTTCACTGCTGCACGACGGTAACCATAACCACCGCTGTAAACACTTTACAGATTTAGGGGCGAATTACGAGGAAGCCACGTATTCAGTGTTTTTCAATGAATTTTGCAAGTCGAAAATAATTGCGTATTATAAATTTAACATTTCCTTTTTAATGTGTTTCTTAAGATTCTTAATGTATTTAATTATGTAGATAACATTGTAATCTAAATTTTAAATTAAATTTTTTTACTATGAAAATCTCGAAGGGGTGGGTGTCGCCCCACAGCCATCCTGCACCAGCCGCCATTGGTATGTAGAAACATATTTAATAAAAATAACTTTTATACATTATTAAAATAAATCATCAGATCATCTCCGCTTTTGGAGGAAAATACATATTCTGAATATATTCAGGATGATCAAGAGCATGTTAGTTTGGAATTAGAAGGTTTAGAACCATCAGATATGTGTTCAGAAGACTCAAAGTCAAACAAAATACTGATTAAAAACGATATTATGTGAAGTTTGAAAAAAATAAAGGATTGTGTACTCTTCTGTGGCTATGCAAAAAGAGCACATTTATTTTATTTGGAGAAAATGTATTTATATAGATGACTTTTTTTTATTCTCTAGATAGGTACTGATGGAAAACTGGCGAAAAAAATTTTTTTGTCAAAACTGAAAACATCATTGGAAACGACTATCTTTCCCCTTCAAAACGCATTTTTTTATTTGGAAAAAGCTCTATTTTTCTATTTTTGATAATTCTTAAAATGTGGCGTTAGAATAACAGCAAACGCATGTTTTATAAACGCTTTTTTTTAGTTATTATTTTATTAGAGTAAATTTAAATGGTAACAATGAATAAACAAAACATCAAGGATTTTATTTTTGTGCTTACTTTTGTTCTACACGTTTTACTTTTAAAGATTTCAGTACCTAAAAACGCCAGAAATTTCACTATTTCTCGGCCGGGAATATGGCCACCTTGCAATATTCTCTTTCTGTTTATAGCCAAAATTTTGATTATAAAGAATTTCAAAAAGTAAATTTGCTGAGATTCATCTTACCGTGCAAATGATCTTTTTACAAACTACATTTCCAACAAGCTTGTTTGAGCAGTAATAATTGTTGTCCTATGGTGTTCAACCTTGCAAAGACGGCAATTTTATTCTATTAATGATGTATGGATGGAATATACAGGATGATTATCAACTTCTCAAAAATATATATA